TTGCATCATTTAGTTCATATATCAAAATTTAAAATTCTAGAAATATTCATTTCAATTTTATTTATAATAAATAAATGTAATATATTTCAAAATATTAATTTATATTACTTGAGTAAACTAAATTGTAAATACGGGTAAAACTACTTTAGTTGAATTTTTTCCAAGGATGTTCTGCTTGATCTGTGAAAGTTTAATAGTTATTATTTGGGGAAAAAAACCCTGTTGTGGGGTCAAATAAGTTTAGAAAAAACCTGTGTTTGACAAATGTTAAACATATTTCTTGAGTCAATGATTACAAATAGCATTTAAAGAATTCATGAGCACTGGAAAACTCTAAGAAGCAGTTTTATACTGAAAATTTCTCAGATTTATTTTATTAAAATACTTATTATTTAAGGAACATATCAAGGTACAGGATAGTTAAAGAAATTTAACAAATATACTTTAGAATATATTGCCTTTGGAATATATTTTTACAGTGGAATCTTGTTAAAATTAATGTGGTATATTTCTAGACATTTCTAATATCTTTGTGTTAAATAAATACATTTTTAAAAATACCTTCTGAATACAAAAGAAAAAGAGTATCATTTATTCATCACTGTTCCTCTCAATTTCCTCCTCCAGAATTTCAAAATTAGTTTAGTTTTCTATATCTTTGCTTTGGTGATAGTTTGGTAGCTTGATTGTGATTGGGATGATTTAAATTAGATAAATTGAAAGACAATCACTACTGAAAGGTTTGACCAAGTTCATTTGAGCTTTACTCCCTACCACTATCAATAAAGATCTGTCTGCATGGGGAATAACCGTTAGTAGGGTCTTTAAAAAACACTGTGTAAAATTACTTTTATATAAATTTATAATAATCAGATTAACAGTGCGACATAGAAATAGTTTTGAAAATTAGAAGCAATCAGTTAACATGCATATCAACTGAGCAGTATTGGATAGTGCTTGTTTTGTGGTCAAATTATAGAAAAGCATTTGTTTATAGATGTAACTTTTCCCCCCAACAAGATTGACAAATCGTTCTCAGAAATGTTTGAAATATTTTTGGTGAAGTGGATATTGAGGTTGCCACTGTATTTGTTTTCATTGATTTAGCTGATATGGGTTAAATGTTTGCAAGTCTCTTTATTTGTAAATCTTTGGTGCATTATAGTGCATTATCACAGTACAGTTCATTAGATATTGGAATCTTATTGATTTTACTAATTTTTTCCTCTTTTTACCCAGGAGTAAATAGATAACGTTCTTGTTCTAAATAACAGATTGTAAACTATTGGTAAAATGGCTTTATTTTTAAATGTAAGCAAAAACAATTAACTGAAAAGCTTGCTGCTATCTTCGGCCATCACCATCTTGCAGAACACAAATTTCATATTAGCATTAAAAGGACATATTGCTAATGTTGATCATTAACTAAGAAAATGAGCCATAGAAAAGACATTATGCTAAAAAAAAAAAAAAGTTAAATCAGACATATTCCCATAATACTTGCCTCTTGAAAACAACCTATAATCAAAATCTTTTGGCAGCAGGATGTCATTTTATAAACTATTGTGCTAAAAAGTTAAAAGCCAATCCCTGAATTTGAAAAGTAACCACACACCCATACCATGAGACCTCTTATATCTATAAACTCTAATCTTCTTTTTACATTTTTACTTATAATAGTGAATATTATGACAGCTGGCAAAAAGCTTATAAATAATAGCTATATAATACAGCAGCAGCCTTTGGAATTAAGATAATTTAAGATCTATGTTCTCAGTAACTGCTCTTTCATTTAAGATACATATAGAATGAATTCAGTAAGCACTTTTACTCCTTTTTTCAGGAGGCAAAGAAAGACAAGGGGATCTCTGTCAAGTAGTCCTCAGTTGAAAGCATGACACTATCCCTTCCAAGCTGTGTGAACTTACGTATAGTGATTTACTTGTTAGACAAATAGCACCAATAATGCAAGATGTTATAAGTATTAAATTAGGTGTGCATTTAAGATGATGCTAATATTTCATTTAACTCAATCAAAATGTGAAAACTGTTATTTTTAAAAGTAGGCAATTCATTATGAAAAAGCTTACCTCAGTTTTTTTTCAGCTTTAGACTCTTCTGTTGTAAGTCTAGGAGGAAAATACAACTCATTTTCTCCTCCCTTTTGTGTTATCATTTTTTTCTTTTCCAGATAGCTAATGAAATTTCATTTGTATTTTTTCTAGTGAAGGTGTTAGTAAGTATTGTAGTTCCAAAATATGAATAGCTTTGGAATCACTAAATCCCAAATATTAGTCTGAGAAAGACTGACCTTCAAAAAGTAGCTTATAAACGCTTATAAAAAAGTAGCTTATAAATTAATATAGTCTTTAAATTTTTAAATTATTATTGTCCTGAATTGATACTTAATTTTAAGAGTATCTGTCTTTTCTCTATACCAAAATATCCAGATTTTTAGCTATGAGTTTCCATTACAACATTTTCTCTTCTAAAGCCTCAATAATAATGGTGTAGATTTTAGATTTTATACTTACTTCAGACCACTGAATACAACTCCACTAAGTATTGGTGCTATTAATCTGTAAATACTGCATGATTCCATTTATATCGAAATAGAGGCTGGGGGCAGTGGCTAGCACCTGTAATCCCTGTGCTTGGAGAGGGTAAAGCAGGAGGATTGCTTGAGACCAAGAGTTTGAAACCAGTCTGGGCAGCATAGCAAGACCTCTGTCTCTACAAAAATGTTAGAAAATAAGTAGCTAGGCATGGTGGCATGCACCTGTAGTCCTAGCTACTGTAGGGAGACTGAGGGGAGAGGATCACTCGAGGCCAGGAGTTTGAAGCTACAGTGAGCTATGATCATGCCACTGCACTCCAGCCTGGGTGACAGAGTAAGACCCTTTCTCTTAAAAGAAAATCCAAATAGATCAAGTACTACCTCTACTTGTAGTATGACAACTAATACCAATATGTGTAATTAAGTGTATAGAAACCCACATAGTTTATCCAAGGGAAGTTTATTTCACGGGAAGTAACCATTACCAATAAGCAATAAAAGTCATTACAATGACTCTAAATTTGCAATTACACTTTTTCACCTTAACTTTAGTATATGTGCTGCATAAGTAGGCACTATTTTTCATCTTAAGCAACAGCTAAGATTAAGAGAGATTTAGTTGAAGTCTATAATTGGATAAACACCATCAAAAAGCTATGTTTTATTCTCGGTTTCTCTCTGTTGTGCCTCTGTAGTACCCTTCTCTTTCCCCCAATCCCCCCTTCCACAAATATGTGTTGAATATCAATTCTTTGATGCCTCAGGCATTTGATATTTATATAAAATAATCCTTTAATTCTCACCATAATTTGAATTTGATAATATGTGTCTATTTATAGATGTGAATATATGCTCGGTGAAGTACAAGGTCACATAACCAAAGTGTGGAAAGGCAGATCCATCTCTTGTTCAAAGGAACTGAACATGGACCGTGCAAGGGTGAACAGTGCTTCAGTGGAGAACCTCAGAAACCAGAGAACGCTGAGCCCTACGGCATCCTATTGGCCTCTCTGAGGTGTGAATAAACAAAGGGATTTCCCTGATTTTGAAGGCATTAGTTATTCATTTCTCTAGGATGTTAAAGTAAGGTCTTCAGTAGAAGGCAACTGGAATGTGTCCTTGTCTACAAACATAAAACATACAAAAAGGGAAGCTCATGAATAAAAGAGGCAAGAAAAGACATATTGACTGGAGGTCTGGAATGCAAGCGCGCGCGTGTGAGTGTGTGTGTGTGTGTGTGTGTGTGTGTGTGTGTGTGTGTGTGTGTGTGTGTATCTAGGTAAGTTTAAAGGAACCTGGAGAATTAACAAGGGTATAAATTCGACCAGGTTTGCATTTTACAAAAATACATTCAAGAAGAAGGGAGACAGGGTTGGCAACTACTGTAAAAATACAATAAAGATACAGTGGTGATGTGAACTTAAGTATACAGTGATGGATTTGAAAAGAAATTCTAGCTTTAAAAAGTACATCAAAGCCGGGCTCGGTGGCTCAGCCTGTAATCCCGCGCCTTTGGGAGGCTGAGGTGAGTGGATTGCCTGAGCCCGCGGGTTCGAGACCTGCCTGGGCAGCGAGACTTCATCTCTACAATAAATAAAAAAATCAGTCGGGCATGGTAGCACATGCCTGTAATTCCGGCTACTTGGAAGGCTGGGGCGGAAGGATTGCCGGAGCCCAGCAGGTAGAGGCTGCAGTGGCCGGGAGCGGCCACTACACGCCAGTCTGGGCGACAGAGTGAGACTCCAACTCAAAAAAAAAAAAAAAAAAAAGTACATCAAAAAGCCTTGATTCTTCAGGCCCACAGTGCCCACAGACAATCTTCACTACAAATAGAATTTGAACATAAGCAGATGCATCTCACTTCTTACTAGGGTAAAAGATATACATATACTTCCATTTACAGATGGATTATTTCGTCACTGGAAACCGAAGTCTACTTCAGTTCTGCACTATAAATCTTTAGTTACAAATTTATCTCCTCTATCATTTTTACTTTGGTATTTTAATTTAATTTTGGGTTAACAAAATAATTGTCATAATTATTTCATTAAAATTTTAATATAAATGGAGACATACAAGTCTCCTTTTACTCAGCACCATTATTTTGAGATTCAGTCCATATTATAGCTGATATCGTGAAATTGTTTCTTTTTTTAGGAATAATTCTTTTATTTCTGGCTTTATATATAATTACAAATAACTAACATAATGATGTAATATTCCTAATGTTACGAAAATTGTGATAAAAGTATATGTGAATGTTCATCATCTAGTTGATAGAATATATAAAATATTGAATAACCCAAAGCAGGTAATTGAGAAATGTTTATAAGCATTAGATGTTGAATTTACAGATACTGACAAAGTTGTTCATCTTCGGGGACAGTCATCATAAATTCTTATTGATGTTTAAAATAGCAATGAATAGCCAATTAAGCAGTAACTAGAGAATCTTGTAATCATCTTCACATACCTTGCTTTCTAAGATTGCTTGTTTTTGCATCATTCGTGGTATAGGAGTCTGAACAGCATCGTAACTCCATCCCTTCCTGGTGAACAACCTCTCAAGGAGGTATGGCATCCGGTAGCCCTTGCTTATAATAAAATCCTTAAAGGCAATTGTACCATAAAGATCTTCAAGAATGTCGTATTCAGGAGGCTTTCCAAAAGACCTACCTTGGGTTTCAAGTAAGACCTTGGGGTCAATCAAAGGCTCATCATTTATTAGCTTTTTCCATAACCTAGGCTTCAGATACCACGCTCCATACCTTATCTTCACCCAGTTCGGTTTATAGGGATTCAATGGTTTCTGGAGTTTTCTCTCCCAGTCTTCTCTCTCAATGGAGAATTGTATTTCCTCCTTTTGACTTAGCTCTGTGTTGTACTTTAGCTCTGAAGAAACTAGGTTTACCTTCTTCATGCAAACATCCTCATAGGTTGGTTTGCATTCAGAGGCAATGTCGAACTGATTCAGGATGAAATCTTTATTAATGCCAAAGTCTCCAAAAGTAGAAACCCATTCACAGAAGTCGAGGATTCCTTCTGATACATATCTAGAGTTAGAAGCATCAGCGTCCACATCTGCTGTGCTTGGCTCCTCTTCCTGAATCAAATCTTCGGGATGGGACTCGGTTGTCTTGGGAGATCCTGGAAAGACTTTTCTAGAATGACGTTTACAAAGCTTCATGGGCTTCCTGGTGCTCTTCCTTTCACCCTCACAGTAAGCCCATGTTTCCTTCAGCTTTCTCTCAGGGTCCAGCACTTCCAGGACCTTTAGTAAGAGATCTGCAGGTATGTCTTCTTCCACATTGGGGTAGAGGACCAAGGGACGCTCGGTCAGGTGAGCTTCGATGTCCTCTATGAATGCTTTGCGTGCTAGCTGGGCTGGTGAGAGCGTGGAAAACAGGCCTGCTTCCTTGGACGGTTTTCCCCGACTCGTTTTGGGGGCAGGTTGGGGAACTCTGTGAGAAATTATGGGGAGAAACCCCTCCTTAGGGCCGCGAGTGATCAGACCCTCAGCAGGTGGACAACATTTCCTAAAGTCGTCCAGCCCTTCCCTCACAAATATCCACTGCCGGCTGTCCAGGGAGGTGGGGAACTTCAGAAGCCTGTTTTTGTGCTTTGCGAAACACCTGGAAGGTAGTTTGTCGTTGTACCAGGGCTTACAGTTCATGCCCAGGGGCATCGGTTCCAGCACCCACGGCCGGAAAATCGACCTCTGGTCCGCCATGGTGCCCTGGCTCTGAGGCCACCTCCCACACGTCAGTGATTTGTTTCCACTGTGGTCACTCGGTTGCTATGAGACTGCCAGCCCCGGTTGCCCAGGTTTCGCTGATGGAGCGCCAGACTCGGCGCATTCTGTTTTGAGGTCCATTGTATGGACATAACACAATTTATGTATCCAGTCGCCTTTTTATAAACATTTGGGCTGTTTTCTGTTTGGACTATTACAAATTAAGCTTCTATGAACATTTGTGTTCATGTCCTTGTATGCACACTTTCATTTCTTTGGATAAACTTTAACTGGGAGTTCCAGTGGTAGGTGTATATTTAGCATTTGTAAGAAACCATCAATCTTTTTCAAAGTGGTTGTACCATTTTTAATTTATTTAATTGACAGATACAATTGTATGTATTTATCATGCACAATATAATGTTTTGAAGTATATATACACATTGTGGAATGACTAAATATAGATCATTAACAGGTATTATCTCACATAGTTATCTTTTTATAGGGGAAACACCTATCCACTTTCTTAGCATTTTTTAAAGAATACAACATATTGTTATTAACAATAGTGACCATATTGCATGGTAGATCACATGAACTTGTTTCTTTATTTAACTGAAACGTCGTATTCTCTGAACATGTGGTTGTACTATTTTATATTTTTTCTAGCCATGTGTGAAAATTGCAATTCCTTCACATATTTCCTAAACACTTGGTATGATTAGTCATTTTAGTTGTGGCTATTCTAATAGGTGTATAGTGGTATCTCATTGTGGTTTAATTTGCATTTCTCTAATGACTATAGGTGTTGAACATCTGCTCATATGCTTATTTGCCATCCTCTGGTGAAGCATATGTTCAAATTTTTGTACATTATTTAATTGTATTGCTTATTATCTCTGAGTTTTGAGAGTTCATTGTGTTTTAGATTGAAGTCCTTTATCAGATATATTATTTGCAAATTTTTCCTTCCATCTGTGGCATGTCTTAAAAATATATTTCAAAGAGCAGAATTTTTCAAATTGGATGAAGTCCAATACATTAATTTGTTCTGTTATGGGATGTTCCTTCTGTGTTAATTAAAAGAAAACTTTGCCTACACTGACATCAAAATGTTTTTCATTCTTTCATAAGTTTTATCATCTTAGATTTTACATTTAGATTTGTCACCTATTTTAATTTAATTTTTGTTGATGTACAAGATGTGAATCAAATTTATATTAGTATATATTTTTTGCCTGTGGATGTCCAGTAGTCCCAGATCTATATATTGTTTTGAAAAGACGAGCTTTTCTGTACTGAATTACCTGTGTGCCTTTATAGAAAATCAGTTGTCTATATTTCTGTCAGCTCTTTTTGGTTCTATTGATTTTTCTGTCTTTACAGCAATTTCATACTGTGTTTATTACTTTAACATTTTAATAATTCTTGGAATCAGTCTGTATTAGTCATCCAACTCCGTCTTTCACACTTTTTTTCTTTTTCTTTTTTTTTTTTAAACATTTTAGGTGCTTATTTTCCTGACCCAAGTTCTTAGCTTGATCCCCTCAACTGAGTGAGACTGCTGTCTCTGCCTTGGTTCCCCTTTCCCACTCAATAAATAATCTTCAGTAAACAGAGCTCATACCATTTGTTTTCTATCTCTGCTGATCAGTCTCTACTACCTGATGTTAAGTGCCTTGCAAACTACTGTCTTATATATATATTGCGCGCTCTCTCTCTCTCTCTCTCTCTCTCTCTCTCTCTCTCTCTCTCTCTCGTTTTTGTTGTTGTTGTTGTTTTGTTTTGTTTTGTTTTTGCTTTTTGACATTTGAAAGGGTAATAAGCTGGCCAGAAAATAAAATCCAAATCATGAAGAAAGTGGGAAATTAATCTAAGTAATAATAATCAAATAATCAAAAGATTATTGTTTGTGATGTTTTTATGATTTACTGCAATATGAATCAGAAATCTCCACTTAGGAGTAGAGATAAAGTAATGTAAAAACACCTTTGAAAGTTCAGTATCTTTCCAATTTGTCATAAAACATATATATTTTTTCCTATGAGGAAAAAAAAGTGCAACAGAAATTACATTTATCTTTTATTGCAATTAATAAGGGAAATGTAATGAATAAATGTCATGCATTCTAAGTAATGCTTTCAAGGCTCACTTCCTGCCATTAAAGAGAGTACATTAATGTATAAGAATCTGCTTCCTTAAATTACCCATCCTTTTCCACTCAAAGAAGTGAATACTAGAAAATACGGCTATTGGGAAAAGGCTGTTGAGGATGTTTAACATCTAACCAAAGCCATATCTTTGAAAAGTGATTATGACTGTATGATGTCCAACACTTTCCTCAATTACTCCATCCTATGCTTCTTGAAATAATAGGGGGCATGCTAATGTCTTTTAAAGGTCATTTTTACCATAGACATTGCTCCTATATACCAACACACAATAAAAACATTTGTATACCTTGTAACCTAGCAATAATTTTCAATATCAAATTACTTCAATTACCTTCCCCTTTTAGTTTTCATTTTTATTTTTTATTAACAGACATTGTTAGTTATTTCTCTGTATTCTTCTATGTGTTTTTTCTCCCTCTTTTGACATCTATCAGATATTTGTATAAACTTGTATATCCCCACTTAGTCTCATGCTTTCCAAGCTTTCCAAATTTGGTTTCCCTGTTTAATATACCCTCATAAATAATTTCAGGCCTTCATGCTTATCTCTGATTTTCAAGTTCATCTACTTTTGCCCTTAACTTTCAATATAGAAAGATGCAAAGTTTATTTCTGCTACAATATTTGAAAAACTCTTATATTATTGTTTGACTATGCAAAGGAAAAGAGCATAATAGGGCAACCCTCCTTCGGGGCCCCTTCCTCATGGGAGCTTTTTGCATTCTTAATAAACTCCTACTTTCTCACTGCCTCCCCCCCCCCCACAAAAAGAAAAGAGCATGGCAGTGAAATTTTAAATTTATTTTCAAACTTGAAAAAGAAAGCACAATGACAAGTTTTTTTAATTAGTGTCTTTATGGTTTTCTATATATAAGACTATGTCATCTACAAACAATGGCAGTTTAACTTATTCCTTTCCAATTTGGATGCCTTTTATTTATTTGCTTCTGACTGTTCTGGCTAGAACTTTCAGTGCTGTATTGATTAGAAGTGATGAGAGTGGGCATCTTTATTTTGTTTCTGATCCTAAAGGAAAAGTTTTCAACTTTTCATCATTGAGTATAATGTCAGCTGTCATCTTGTCATATATGGCTTTTATTGTGTTGAATTACATACCTTCTATATCTAATTGGTTGAATTGTTTTTAATCACGAAAGAATGTTGAATTTTGTAAAATGCTTTTTCCACATCTGTTGAGGTCATGTGTATTTTTCTTTCACCTGTTAATGTATAGTATCACGTTGGTTGATTTGCACGTAGAGTCACCCTTGCATCCCAGAGATATGTCACTTGATTATAGTGTATCATCCTTTTAATGTGCTGATGAATTCTATTTTTTACATTACTGCAAATGAATTTTTAATTTTCATGTTTCAATTGTTCATCGCTGGTGTATAGAACTACAATTAATTTTTGCATATTGATCTTGTACTGTGCAACTTTCATGTACTCATTTATTACTTCGAATTATATTTTATTATATTCCTTAATATTTTTTCATTTTCAAGAATCTCATAACAATATTTTTATAACTGTGAAAGCTGCTGATTTTAATAAATTTATGCAATGCAATACTATGCACCAGTTAAAATATGGATATTGAAAGATATTCAAAATGTATGATTAAATGAATGAAAACTTTTGTACTGACACACAACTAGACATAAAGTCCAATGGAACAGAAGATGAATTCCAAAAATAGAACCAATGGCATGTTAGAATACAATAAAAGCAGCACCTCAAATTAGTAAGAAAATGAACATTAATTGCATTTTTTAAAAACTTATATTCAAGGAGGGCATGGCAGGTTTGGTAAACGGGTACATTGTGTAATGGTAAGGCTGGGGCTTCTACTGAACTTGTAACATGAATGTTAAACACGATACAAGTAGGTAGTTGTTCCACTCTTATTCCCTTCCCTTCCTTTCCTCTTTGGGAGTCCCCAGTGTCTGGGTCTAATGGTAAATTTGTTTTTAGTTTTTCCAGACATCTCAAAACTGCTTTCTACAAAGGCTGAATTAGCTTATATTCCCACCAACAATGTATGAACATTCCCTTTCTCCACAACCTCACTGAGGTCCATTGGTTTTTGACTTTGTAATAATAGCCATTTTGACTGGTGTAAGATAGTATCTCATTGTGGTTTTTATTTGCATTTCTCTGATGATGAGCGCTACTGAGCATTTTTTTCATATGCCTGGTAGCCATTTGCATATCTTTTTTGAAAAATAACTATTCATTTTTTTCCCACTTTTTAATAGAGTTATTTGATTTTTTTCTGTTGATTCATTTCAGGTCCTTATAGATTCTTTGGTCCTTTTTTGCATGTATAGCTTGCAAATATTTTCTCCCATTCTAATGTTGTATGTTTACTTTGTTGATGGTTTATTTTGCTGTGCAGAAGCCCATTTGTCAATTTTCGTTTTTGCTGTATCTGCTTTTGAGAACTTGGCCATAAATTTAAGTAGGCTGATGTCCAGAAAAATGTTTCTTAGACTTTTTTCTACGATATTTTTTAATAGTTTGAGGTCTTACATTTAAGTCTTTAATATATCTTGAGTTAATTTTTGTATATGATGAGAAGACAGGGTCCAGCGTTCATTCTTTTGCATATGGTTGGCCAGTTTTCCCTGTACCATTTATTGAATAAGGTTTTCTTTCTCCAGTGTTTATTTTGTCAACTCTGTTGAAGATCAGTTGGTTGTAGTCAGCAGCTTTATTTCTGGGTTCTCTGTTTTGATCCATTGGTCTATGTGTCTATTTTTGTACCAAGATAATGATGTTTTGGTTAGTGTGGCCTTGTAAAGTTTGAAATCTAGTAAT